TTATTGTCTGCATTGCTCTTTCACCCCCAAACCTCTCCTCTGCATGGGAAGGAATGTTGCCGGAGGGAGGCAAAAGCCCATGGCTCTGCACCCGTCTTCTTTCAGGCTACACAGTGTCCAGCCCAGGCCTGCTGCCTGAAGGCAGAGAATTCCCTGTGGAATGGCACCAGTGGGGACGTGGGGTGCCAGAGAGACCACACTCAAGACTTTTTAACACTAGGTTCTATTTTATCATTTTGGGGGAGGACTTGAAACATCTGGTAAAGTTTTGCCTGTAGCCATTTAAAAAACAAAACACAACAAAAACAAATCCATTCACATTCTGTTGCAAAGGTGGTGGCTTGCAGGTTTTTTAAAGCCTAGGGATCTGTTTTCTTGGGCAGGCTAAACTGGCTCTTTGTAACCTTATTTACAAGATTAAAAGGGAGCGAAATTAAGCAGGTTTCATTCTGCTGGTTGCTTTGTCTCAAACCCAAACCAGCTCCTTTGAGAATCTTACTGGGCTCCTGAGAAAAAAACTTTCGTGTTGCAAATATGCTGCCTTTTGCTTTTTAGGAAGGAGTCAATTATATGACACAGAGTGATGTGAAAAAAACAGATTAGCTCTGCTAGCGAGTCAAGAACACAGCACCCGAGTGCTGCGTCCATCCCTGCGGCTCCCACAGGGCCAAGAAAGGAAGCTCAAGGATGTAGGGCGGCAGCCCTGCAGAGGAGTCTGGCGAGAAGGGCAGTGGGGCTGGCAGGACGTCAGATGTGGGCTCTTACCCCTTAGGTAGGGGCACCTCCCCACAAGTGGGGCCACTGACTGGCTGTTCACTCAAAAATAAGGTAACCAGATGTCCCTATTTTTAACAATTTTTCCCACATCCCGCGGCATTTTAAAAACGTCCCTATTTTTTGAAAGAATGCACGACAAGCTAGGGCATACGGCTTTTGGCTGCCACGTGGCTATTTCGCCAGGATTTGAGCTTTATCACTGGTGTCCCTGCTTTACCAATGTTAAAATCTGGTCTCTTTACTCAAAAACCAAATGGCCCTCCAGGTTAAATCGAAGCCCTTGGGGCAGAATGTCCAGGCCGGGAAGTCCTATCTTGACTCTGACTTCGTAGTGCAGAACATTATCCCTTTCTTCCAGGTTGCCTCCCTGAAGGTACTTACAACCAGCGGTCCCAGTCCCAGCCCAAAGCAAGGCGGGCACACGTGCCACAGATGCCCAACAGGCTCCGACAGGTAAGAAACCAGGAGCTTCACTGGCATGCTGGTTTTTAACTTCACTTTCTGACTATGTCGGAGTTGATGGAAATTGTGTCTTGGTCCTGGCTATTCAGTGAGTTATTCTTGTGTGTGGAGGTGGGTTATGAGTTGGGCTGCTAACCACAAGGTCAGCAGTTCGAAACCACTAGCTGCTCTGAGGGAGAAAGACAGGCCTTTCTACGCCTATAAAGAGTTGAGTCTCAGAAACTCAGAGGTTTCCTTTAGGGTCGCTATGAGTCGGCAGCAACTCAATAGCAGTGAGTCTTGTGTGTGAGCTACGGTTTCCAAAGCTACGGTAATTTAAAAAGAAATCATACCTTTCTTCCCCTACAAAAGCCCTCAAATTAGAGCAATACCATAGTGTTAAACAAAAGGTGTCAGTGTCTACTCATCTCCCGTGGACATTCCTTACTTATATGCAGATCTATGAAAGGAAAGCATGGTGGACAAAATAAAATGTTAAGGTGGCTTACAAACTAGAATTCCCTGTCACAAGTGGAGATGAATGCCAGGAACAGATTTGGGGAAAGACACACTAAAGTATAAAAAGGCTGATATTCCTTTTACATTAAAAAAATTCACTCATGATTATAATAAATTTCTACTTTTGTGGCTCAGTCTGAACTTGATAGAGAAAAAAAGAAAACACCAAAAACCAAGTCTCTGAATTTTTAAATAGTTTTTTTTCTCCCCTCCTAGAATGACTCTCCTCATTAAAATGAAATGATACAGCTGCTTTCAAACTCACTGTTTCCTCATATTTCCTTTCAGAAACCATCGGAACTGCTGGCAGGGTGATGGTTTACATGTGAGACTGTGAACAGGGAATGCTTCCTAACCTTCTCGAAAGCTACATTTGTCAAACTGCTATTCACACTGCCTGTTGCAAAAGTTTCAAATTTTCGAATGGTTGAGCCTGGGACATAGTAGATTATTGCCCTGAAACTTAATGGCAGTTTAGCATAACTTTCAAAAATAGTTTCAGAAGGATGTGCACGCTACAGCAAGTACCACAAGACGCGAACATACCCAGATGAAGCAGGGTCGTGTATTCCAGACACTAGAAGTCCAGCAATTCTGCGAAAACCCACTTGCTCCTGGGTCTTCCTTCTCAATCAAGCCAGGACTTAAAAAGAGACCTTGCAGGGAAGCAGTCAGGAACAAATTTGGTAACATCAACTCGAAAGAAGTAAACCTCCCACCAGCTGAAAATCAGATACCATTAATTTAGCCATTCTCCTCTTAAAATGGTCTGTTTATTCTGTAGTAGTAACAGGCAGCATGCAAAGCCTTTCCATAATCAAATACCTTTCAAAAGACAATATTTCACTTTGAGAGACAAGGGCTGTTTAACCTAGGCATAATTTACCCTTTGGGGTATAATTTGCTTTGCAGATTATTTCGAAGCAGGTAAGGAATGAAGGGCCTATTTTGAATCAGAACTAGAAAACAAGGTGACCAGACATCCCGCTTTTGGCGGGGCAGTTCCGATTTTTGGCGTTTTAAAAAAGTCCCGATTTTTGGAAAGAATGCATGACAAGCTAGGGAACGGTCTATTTGGT